AATAAATAAAATTTTAAAGAGACGTAGACTTTCTGTCTTTCAGAGGCCCATTTCCCTAGCCGTCCAGAAAGATGGAGTTCCTTTAAGTTTTTATTGCTTGTGTTTGTTGTGCAGGTCCACAAGGTCTAAAACTAAGAGGTAAAAGGGAAAAACCCCAAACTAAACAAATATGTCCTAGAAAAACTCATCTTTGTTATAAAACCTCCTTTAAGGTTTAGCTCCTCTCCCTAATCTGCCCAGTATTAATTTTAGAATCTTTAGGTAATAGTTTTTAGTGTGCTGTCAGAAATTTTAGTTTCAGGGAGAGCTTGAGTGGGCTTGTGCCCTCTGACCCTCATCTACGTTTCACTGGGTGATTCTTAGGCCTCTTCTTCAGCTCCCCCTTGGCGGTGAGGAACAGTACAGGAGTACAGGTAGTTCCTGACAGAAGGGAGGCTTTCAGGAACTTAGTTGCAAGTAGGTTCTGACATAAGTAGCTTTTTTTCTTTAGTTTTTATTATTATTGCCACAGGCTGTTATACAGCAGTTTTTTGCACAGTAAATATGAATATCTTTGAATAAACATCTGAGAGTGACAGCTTAAATAAATTTTGTGCTGCAACTTTGTATGTATTACATATTACGAATGGGGAAAATATCCAAAAAAAGCCCCCCAAATGGCCAAAAGTATGGTTTGTTGTAACCTGAATATGTTGTATGTTGGGGACTACCCGTAATAATGAAAAGAAGTTATTTTCTCAAGGTTCAAAATTTAAACAGATTCTAGCATAAATGTCTGCATCTTCAGTCTGTAAAGAGGTAAGTTATTTTAGGTCAGAGTGATGTTGGCAATCCTGTATATTGCATACCAGACTCTATTTTCAAAATTTTATTCAGACACATTCATTCTTCACGTTATCCTCTGAGGTAAATACTGTATTATCTCCTTGAAACACATAGAATTTTTGAACTATAAAGAAGTTAGGTAACTGTAAGCTTATAAGTTTAGTTATAACTGATAAATGGTGAAGCCATAATTCAAGCCTATAGTTAATAGTTTATTGCTAAAGCCCATGTTTTAAAAAAGTTTAATCTTATGGGACATTTATGCAGAAATCAAAGTAGGAAACAAGTAGAATGAACCTCCAGCTTCTACAGTCTCAACATTCTGTCTCTCTTGTTTATGTTCCTCTTTCACCAACTTTTTCCCCCTTTTTTTATGGCTTCGGAACGCCTTATTATTATGTTTAATCATTTTACTGGTAGCTTGTACAGCTCTTATCACAATCCATACACACATCCATTGTGTCAAGCACATTTGTACATACATTGCCATCAACTTACCAACTTTCTATGTCTTTGCTAAAGCATTTGAAAACAAATTCTATACATCATTTTATTTCAGCCATAAACACTAAAGCATATTTGAAAAATGTATAATAGCTTTATAAAAACAATTGGACCATATTACCACTAAAACCACCATATAATAACAGCATAAAAAGTGGAGCCCTCTGCCCCTCCCCCGAGAAGAATTTATTTCAAAGGATGGCCTGAATCTGCACCTTTGGGAGAAGGATATATCTGACCAGAGCACACAGGAGCAGATGAC